TTAGCTGAGCTCAGTAACACTGAGATTAATAACTGATCATCATATTGATTTATCAGTCTACTCAGGCTTTAGCAGAGCTCAGTAACACAGATTAATAACTGATCACATTGATTTATCAGTCTACTCAGGCTTTAGCAGAGCTCAGTAACACAGATTAATAACTGATCACATTGATTTATCAGTCTACTCAGGCTTTAGCAGAGCTCAGTAACACTGAGATTAATAACTGATCACATTGATTTATCAGTCTACTCAGGCTTTAACAGAGCTCAGTAACACAGATTAATAACTGATCACATTGATTTATCAGTCTACTCAGGCTTTAACAGAGCTCAGTAACACAGATTAATAACTGATCACATTGATTTATCAGTCTACTCAGGCTTTAGCAGAGCTCAGTAACACAGATTAATAACTGATCACATTGATTTATCAGTCTACTCAGGCTTTAGCAGACTTCAGTAACGCTAAGATTAATAACTGATCACATTGATTTATCAGTCTACTCAGGCTTTAGTAGAGCTCAGGAACACTGAGATTAATAATGTGATTAATCACATTTATCAGTCTATTCAGGCTTTAGCAGGAGCTTCAGTGTTAGTAAAGAGGCAATTAATTGAGATCCTCTAGAAAACAAGACTATTAGTTAATAAACTAAATCTATTCTCCTTAAAATATAAAAAGTAACAGTATTCTCAGTACCTTAACAAAATGTAACTTGTACGGAATACAGATACTGAACAAATTCCCAATACTTCCGTTATATTCCAACCTTGTGTATTTTGTCCAAACACAGTAAATAATATGCAGTATGCAGGTTGATATGCTTCTCCAGTGCACCAAATATTCTCTGATGATGTAATATTTTGACCAAATACTCCAGCATGCAGCGAGAGCTATTATCATGATATACTGCACCCCACAGAGTCCTGTGACGTCAGAGACCACAATAGACTTATTTAATTTACAGCCAAAACAGCCAATAAGTGCAAGTTATGTATGTGAGGAGATTAGATATAAGATAAGCCCCATGCTTATGGAAAGAGAAAGTCAAAGAAAAAGAACAGAAAAACAGGAGTTTCCAAAAAACTGCAGTTCAAAAAAGGATTAAAAAGGTACCAACATCCCTGAATATGTTAGAAAACGCAGCAGCTCTCTCTCTCTCTCTCTCTCTCTCTCTCTCTCTGTGTGTGTGTGTGTGTGTTTGTGTGTGTATGTGTGTGTGTGTGTGTGTGTGTGTAAGGGTGGCATCATTTACAGTCAGGATCCTTATCGTCCTGCCACACTCTCACATTACTGATGGGTTTAAACAGGAAGAGAGAGAGAGAGAGAGAAAGGGAGGGAGAAATAGACAAGAGAGAAGATAGATGGAGAGATAGAGAGAGAAACAAAGAAAGACAGGAGCAGAGAGAGAAACAGAGAGGGAGATATAGAGAGAAGTGGATTTCCTTAAGTATCTTTTCTCAGCCAAACATATGAGAAAATGAATTTCGGTCTGTTTTACGGCTCGAGATCAAGTAAAAAAAACAGTCTACAGTGATTCAGTGGACAAATACAAAAGATTTAGAGGACATATGAACTATAGTGGATGAATATGGACAAAGACGAAGATTGAGTGGACCGAAACAAAAGAATCAGAACGAAAGAATGTAGACAATTATAAAGATTCATTGGACAAATACGGCCAAATAGAAAGGTTCAGTGGAAAATTAATATGTGAACAAAAACAAGGATTTAGAGAACAGTATAAATATTCAGTGGACAAATATGAATTAAAGGTGGGCAAATGTGAACGAAATGATAAAATTTTAGTGGACAAATGCAAAATGAAAATAAAGTGAACATAAAGATTCAGAGACAAATATAAAATTTCAGTGGTCAAACGTGGCCAAAAAGAAAGATTCTCATAAGTTTATTACAGTGTTTCCTGTCGGCCGTCCTGTCGGCCCTTCTGCAGCTCACTGTGTGTGTGTGTGTGTGTGTCCCAGGAGGTTTGGAGGTGGATAATGATTCTGTTTAAGCGCCGACACCCTGTGGAGAGAGAGAGAGAGAGAGAGAGAGAGAGAGTCCTTGCATGACCGTTTGATTGGCTGATCATCCAGGAAAGCTCCTGCTGGATCACGGGCAGGATGTGCTCACATATACAACATGTTATACAACATTTACTCTCTAATCATATCAGAACAACCTGCTTTTCTTTCACACTCACATTAAAATCACTTAATTTGTGTTGTTTCTGAGTAACTGTTTCCAAAGCTAAGTGCTCACAGTGAGTGTGTTTACATGCACTTAATAATCCGATAACTGCAGAAAGTGGGCATTCAGATAATGGGGAAACTCCGGGTCTGCATCAGTCAGACAGTAATCAGACTTCTGCTTTACAACCAGCCAATAAAGAAGACGTGACATAAACGTAACGTAAAACTCAGACTTCATGCTCCGACTTTTTACCTGCGCCACTTTACCTGAAAATATGAACATGTATTTGATTTCAGCGTCATTTCAAAAGTGTTTGCTGCGTCTCGTGGCACCATCTGTTTTCCCACACTGCAGAATGAGAATCTGAAAGAAATCAGAGTAAGAGTTCACATGTACTGAGAAATCTGATTATTAGATCTTACTCCAATCTAAGAAATCAAGTGTGCTGTTTACATGACCATTTGAATCATCAGATTACTTCATAATTTCATTTATTCATAACTTTACTGAAGATAACTCATTCTTATTACCTTTTACTGTATTCGTGCTTATTTGTATTTCCTCTAAAGTTACACAGATAATTTAAAAAAATATTAAAAGATATTAAAAATGTGCCTCCTAACAACCACCTGGAACACCTGGTAGACACCAAAACTGCCCCCATAATAACATCACTAAAAAGCTTTCATCTTTGAGAGAGAGGAGAAAATCAAGCTGCTTCAGATCTGAAAACATCCACAGGTGTTTCTGTCCATCCTTCCACTGTGAGAAGACAACTCAGCGCTATGGGTCTGAAAGGATGTGTCGCTGTCAAGATAACCTCACTGAGAAAAGGAGACGGACACATCAAACAAAGAAGCTGAACAATGGACTGACCACCCCAGAGTCCAGACCTCAACATCACTGAATGTGTTTGATTACTGCAGTAAATGATCAACCAACTTCTAAGACTGAACTTTGGAGGTGTGTCTGCAGATTTCTTTGAGTAACTGAAAGTGAGTCTCCTGTAAAGAATGGAAGCTGTAATAAAGGTAAAGAGAGACGCACTCAACACTCAAACAGTTAGATTACAGATAGACACTGAGATTAGATTTAGTTGTTGGGGCTTCTGGGTAATTTTCTGTAATGTTTCCTGCTTTTTTCCTGATGCTGAAAAATGAATAACTGGCTCTTTTGACTGTAGACTAAATAAATGAATGGTGGTCTCTGACTTTTGGACTTGCATGTTTTTCTGTGTAGTCATATAGTCTCTCTCTCTCTCTCTCTCTCTCTCTCTCTCTCTCTCTCTCTGTCTCTCCCTCTCCCTCCCTCTCTGTCAGGTTAGTGATTCCCTCTGTATCGTTTGTCACTTCAAAGCATTCTTTGACGTGTTTCGTCTCTCTGTAATCTTGAAATCTCAGAACTGCTCTCAAGGTCTGAGAGGAGCTGCTGCCTGAGACATGAGTCTGAATGGAGCTGCAAGATCAGCTGTGCTAACATGCTAACAGGAGAAGAGATCAGATACAGCAGAGCTCAGCAGCCTTCAGCTGAGAACTGAAGGAGGAAAATTCATCGTTCAGTGTCACAGACTTTAAACAGGAGCTGTATTTTTATCATGGAGCAATAAAATTAACAAGGATTTTAAAAAGTGGTCAGTAAAAAAAACGCCACAGTTAGAAACTGGAACGTCTAAGTCTGTCCTCTTATGGATGTTTTAACTCATTTACAGTTAGCAAATCCACAAGTAATTGGCCGGGGTGCCCAGACTTTTGCATATGACTACACTGTCATAAGGAAATTTTAACAACAAAACCCTTCTGCACATTTTAATGCACATCTACTGTATATTTGCAACATATATAATACCATATATAGATATATTTTCTTTATATATTATTATTATTATTATATATATATATATATATATACACATATACATATATATATATATATATATATACACATATGCATTTGTCCACTAATTATTTCTATATATATCTATATATTATTTATCTATACATCTATATGTATTTCCTCTAATTTTATTGTATTTCTCTGTTTAACATATAGAGAAAAAATAAAATCTAAAACATGCCATAACTTTTGCTCAGGCCACATTTTATCTTTTATTTTACCCCAGTATGTCACCAAATAAATTCAGTAAATAAACAGTAATTGTGCATTAAAACATGTAGATGTATGTTTTCTGTAGAGGATGTAAACTTATATACACTAAGAAAGTCAAGAAAAACAATTTAACCAGGGGTGCCCAAACTTTTGCATGCAGCTGTATATGCACATAATTGCTGCACTTACTAAAAAAGGTTGCACTTTTTAGAAACAAGCATGGTGCACAAATTGTATATGTAAAAACCATTACAATAAGGTAATAAAATCAACAGGTAATTAGCAAATAAATAAATAAATAAATGGGAAATTAATTTACATTTTTTTTGCAATTTCATAACACTTTAGGTGATCCATACAAGACACTCATTATTTTAATATACATAATATACATAAGATTTTTTTTTGGTATTATTTATAGGTTTACGATATTTCAGTATAAAAATGTTGCATTTAAAAGCAGATTTTCAAGTTTGTTCTTATGATAAGATTAAATTAGTTGAATGTTCCTGAATATAATCTGTACTGGAGAAACAGCAAATTGCATCTTTCAGAGAAAAGGATCCGTTTCGTTGCAGCACTCATGTTTCTATGCGAGCCGGCGTGATTGCATACAAGGATGGGATAACGGCACTTTAAAGGACATCGAAATTGACCAATAGGAGTGTTCACTTCATGAATTAGTAAGTAGTTTAGTAGCCGGCAGCCAATGAGAGGCCGCCGGGGGGCGTGGCCGAGTGAATGTATTAAAATGACGGAGAAGAAAACTGACTGTTGAGTTTGTGTATGCGGAGGCTGTGGGAATTTCGGCCAGAATAACAACAAACACAAGAAGTTCATGTTACTCGTTTGTCCCCCCCGTCTTCCAAAAACGCCTAAACTTTCTCACTTTTTCCTTGTGGTCGTCTTCATGTCAAACATTTGGCGTTTGGGAGCTATTCTGGCTGTTCGCAGGATGGTGTTAGCTAGCAGGGTAGCAGGCTAACGGGCTAGCTGCGCCTGAAAGACTGTCCTTAACCGTTAGCCTAGCTTAGCTTAGCTTAGCTTAGTCTGGCTGGCTACCTACCCTTCCTGCCGTCAGGCTGCAACCAAGGCCAGCCTGCTGAATAATTTAAGAGGTGAGTGAAGGATTTTCTTTCTCTTTTTGCCCGCGACAAACAACAGGCTAACATACCGGAGTCCGTGAAGACGAGGCTGAAGTCTGCTACTTATTCGCCAGCTTCTTGTTCGAATTTTCCCGTTCCACCTTAAATGGTGCAGCAGTTACATTCTGGCGCCCGACATTTAAGGTGGAACGGAAAAATTGGAGCAAGAAGCTGGCGAATAGGAAGCCGACTTGAGACTCGTTTTGTGAAGTGAGTTAACGAAGCGCCTACCTACCCACAATATGCTTCAAATTTAAAAATATTATCGAAAAAGAGACTAAATAGTGACTCAGATCTTATCCTGAGTAGATCTCCAAAACTGTCAGAAGTGTAAACCTGTGTGTTCGTGAAGGATCCACGTTGTTTGGGAGTTGACGAGCAGAAGAAGAGTGGAGTGGCTTGGCTCAGTTTACACACCTAAAAAGATGGTTTTTCAAGGCTTATTTACTGAAGGCAGTGGTTCTGTATAGAACCATTTAGTTTTTTGCATGGTGTGTGGTTCTTCAGATTGATGGAGAATGTGTTTTGTATGTATATATAGCACTAAAAAGTCTTCTCAACGCTTGACATCGTAACGTTAGCTAACAATAACGGAAAGCATTTTGTTGCAATATAGGACCGTTTTCACGAAGGTTCTGTAGTGAACAATATACAACACGTTCTCCATCAGTCTAAAGAACTATTTCACCATGCGAAGAGCCATTTAAGCATGAAATGGCTGTATATAAAACCATAGAACCCTAGAATCTGTAGAATCCTTGAATAACCATCTATTTACAGAGTGTATCAGAACCATTCTCCATCAATCTGAGGAACCATTTCACTATGCAAAGAACTATATAAAACCATAGAATCCTAGAATATGTGTAACCCTAGAAGAACCATCTTCGAGTGTAGCAGAACTCTTTTTGGTACTGTATAGAACCATTTTTAGGTTCTATACAGTAAGGTTTTATAGTGAGCCATACACAACACATTCTCCATCAATCTGAAGAACCATTTCACTCATGGTTCTGTAAATAACCACTGTCTTTAATGAAGAACCATCTTTTTGTCTGTACTACTGGGGCTGTTAAGTAACGCCCCAGCTACTGACATGAATTAGTAAGCGCACTGACTTGTTTGTGTCTACCTTTGTCATCCTCTTAGCAGGCTTGATAACTTCGGATAAAGCTCTGTAACTTTCTGATCAAGCCAGCCACTTAAATCTAGAACAGTGTTTTCCTGGTTTCCAGTTGTTCTTCTGCAGCTCATGCACAATTTAGTGTTTTTCTGCTCCGACACACTTGATTCAGTCCTTTAGGTTCTTGCCAAAAGCCCTCCAATGAGTATTCAGGTGGTGAGTTGGATTTGAAGTAACCCAATATTTCAGTCACAGTCCTGTTTTTACAGCTTCTCAGGGTGCGCTGATTTCAATACAGCACTGAAGAATCAAATAAATGAGCTCAAGCTTTTTATTGCATTTTATATTATTTACATCAAGGGTGGGGAAAGGTAAGGGGTAGGGGAAGGAAGGACAGTGACATACACTTTCAGAAAACCACAAATCAGAAATAAAACAGTGACAATACATAAACAAGTACACAACTGAACAACATTATGTAATTGAATTGGAAACTAAAACTCTTGAATGGTCATATAAATTCTCCCAGTTTCTTATTGTTGCCTGTTTTGCCTTGTTAAGCTTTGCTGTAATATATTCCATATGAACTATATTTTGAAAACTAGATTTCCAGAGGAAGGTTTTCTTGGTAGCTGTAAAAACTGCCATCACCATCCTTCACTGAATCAAAGAAAACTGAAGAGCTGAGTCATCGTTTGAAAGACATAAATATGGCGACTATGGAATAATGAGATCAAGTATTTTAGATAATATATCTGCTGTAGAGGTCTATGTATCTGCTACTTCAGAGCATTCCCAGAACGTATTGCTGTTGTCAGAACAAAACGTCATATCTCTAAAATAATAACTTTACTTTTATTGTAAATCAATGGAACCAGACTTTTTTCCAAGGCATTTGGGCCGTTTCTTTGGGTCCATTCATCATTAAATTTATACACAATGTAAAGGCCTCAGGTATTTTCAAATTATGTCAGTGACTGAAAAGTGCCAAAAATCGGGATGCGAGGTTTTTTCCCGACAGCAGCAACTAAAAACTAGAAATATGTTTTATTTGATATCCCCTTAAGGCGTCTCCCATTTACCATCTGCCGAGGAAACCACTGTCAGAAATTAAAAGTAGGGGTCAGGGTGCATCCTAGCATAGTTGCTAGATGGGGTGGGGCTTATGCTAAGGACACACCCATGCTCAGATAATGGGCCTTTTTTTTGGTATTTTGTTAGGGCAGTGCAGCAGACGTTACAAATATCCTGTTTGAGAAATTTGGACTATATGAACCGAACCGATATGTGTAGAATATAATTGGAGCCCTGAGGTCCATTTATAACATCTCTTAATGTTCAGAAATCCGTCGTAATTCATTTTTACATGACCATTTTCTAACCTCTGTTGATCCCTTAGGATTATATGGGCTGTTCTTGTTACTGTGCCTTTAAGACTGATGTATGTAAATGACCATAGTTCTGATTGGCTGTCCTGTATTGAACCTTGTTTAAAAAAACAAAAACAAAAACAAAACAAATAAAAACCCCAAAACAATCCAGGCTGAAGCGCTCCATATAACTTCAGTGTGAATGGCTGGGGCTAAGTTACTGTAGGCTGAATAGGCAGGCATGTAGGTAGATAGATAGATATTTATTGATTGATTGATTGTTCCCGAAGGGGAGATACACAAACCTGCATACATTGGGTAGAAATAAAAAAATACAAAAAATGTATTGATTTTTGTGCCATAAAACGAAACAGGCTTAGTTTGCAAATATAAGTTGGACTGGATAATGAACGGTCTGGTTTGAAAACTATGTTTACATACTGCGTCTTACTGTTTTATTACAGGTTAATAAATGGCCTCTTTAACACGCAAAGTACCGGAAAGCTTTACCAAAAACTGTACTGAACCTGAAAATATAGACTGGGAAACACCCACATGTGCAGTACAGTAGAACTGATATAGATCACCTTGCCTGGCACGGATTCATTATCACTTTTTGCATAGGAAAAAAAACAGAATGTAAAAATCTGTAAACATTCTGTCTCAGTTCAGCGAGATCATGATGTCTTTACCATGCAGTTTAATGTAAACTTACACGCATATGATGCGATACAGGCCTTGCTACATTTGTAGCTGCAGATCTGTGTCGTACCCGGATGTCGAAAACAGCCTGAGCCAAGTCTGTCTGATAGTGTTGTGTAATTTAAAGCTCTGTCAGGGTTCGTTCTGGCAGGTAGAGCTCTCTCAGCTGGCCTGAAGCCTATCTGCCTGTAGTTTGCATGGATAAGTTGCGCAGGATGAAGTGCAGGAATGTGTGGTTGTTGGGATTTTACCAAACGGCCCTTTCCATCATCTGTGATTAGCCTCATATGGGCTTGTCTGCCGACTCCAAAGGTTTAACAAATGAAACTGAATTATTTTTGTAATCGTTCAAGGAACCGTAACCTGAAAACATCTGTTCTGTTCTTATTTTGTTTTGCTTGTATCTCCTGGCAGCTGCCATTGCCAAGACACCTTGCTTGAACTTGCTGCAGGTTGTTGCCGCTGCAGTGGGAATCTTGGGTTTGTGCGAGTTTGATGCAGCTTCCCAGTGCTGGGTGATATATCTAGATCAATATCTGTATCCATATTTGTGTTTTACAGGTATATTGATTTTTTTTTTTGTCATTGGCAGTACTTCTAGATAAAAGTACCTGCTGACGTTTTGCTGATGCTTCAGATTCTTTTGGAAGAACAGTTTGAAATACATAAAAGCTAAAATAATTTCCTTTGTTTACATGTAGTTTATGTCTGCTTAATGACAACGCGCAAGGTTCCTTTGGTGTTTTTAAAGGGCCCATATCTTCGATTTTGTTTGTATTTTGTTCTTTTTTTCTCCTTAAAGTCTTCTTATAACGTTTATCTGCCAAAAACAGATGTACTTTATTTTAACATGACCATTTTCCAACTTATCACTGTTAAACATGCTGTTTTTGCTACTGTACGCTCTTAAAAAAGATGGTTGTTTAGTAAAGAAAGTGTTCCATTATAGAAGCATGAACACTCAAAGAACGCTTTGCACAATTAAAGCGCTCTTTGCATTGTGAAAGGGTTCTTCAGATTGATGGAAAATGTGTTTCATAATGTTCTATATTGAACATTTTTGAATGGTACTATATGGCACCCAACAGGGTTTTTCTGTTGTTACATGCTTGGCATTGTAGCAGTAGAGGAACCCTTTTGGGTGCTGTATAGAACCCTTTTCAAAAAAGTCAAGTGGCCACTCAGCTAAAATGTTCAGTATTGGAATTCCTGTAAGTCCTGATCTGTTCAATAAAGCCAGTATCTGTGCCGACACCGTTACTATATATTGCTATATATTACTATATATCAGTGAGCCCCCAGTTTTACGCTGGTGAAAAAGGTCTACACACTTAAAATGGATGATTCTTCTAGGGTTCTTTAGTAAAGAAAATGGTTCTATGTTGCATCTTGTTTAGAAAGCAGGGCTGAAACATGTCAGTAGGCAGAGCTTAACTCTTGTAGGCTGATTTAGCACATATGTGCAAACAGGTTTTTTGTGACCTCTAAAAACGGTGAATTCAACGCAGCCTGATTTTAAAGGCTAGTTTTTATATGTAGAATGTATGACTGGGGAGTGAAAGGTACGTTTTGAAACTGTAAAAGTTGTTTATATTAGTCAGGCTCAATCCCATTTCTTATCTTTACCCCTACCCCTTGTTTTCGAGTGTCCCCTTGCATTTTGGAACTGAGTTATGGGGATACTGGTTGAAATCCTTATAACTCAAAAGTTTAGCAACCTCGCTGCTGGGCTTTAGTTACATTTAGGGCATCATATGCCTTCAATAAGGGGGACGATTATTTATCACCACCCACCCCTAATTCTTCAGTGATATGAAGCTGTCAGCTATTCGCCAGCTTCTTGTATGAATCTTCACATTGCACCTTAAATAGTGCAGCAGCTGTGATGCCTGATGCATCAGAACTTAACTGCTAGCTACCGAGACATCAGCATACCACTATCAATTTTTATGTCTGTTATGAAGAAAAGGGCCATAATACATTGAAACGACATTAAACGAAGATAATACAATGATTATCGTAATTTTTTTTAGTAGAAAATACTCACACTTTTGGGTTTCTTTGGTCGCTTGCGTAGCCATCTCTGTTTGGAGTGTGCCTCTGAAAAACCTCGATTTGGAGGGCCATGTAGCTCTGACACTTATCCCTACCTCTCTATCTCAACAAGAATCAGGACACCCTACCCATATCAAGAACGCGCAAAGGGGTAGGGCTACAAGGAGGCGAAGGGTGAAGGGGTGAAATTGGATTGGGCCTTAAATATCGTCTGATACCAAGATGTGAAGATGTGTACTTGTATACTTTTCCTCATTTCTGACAGTCTGTATATTTGTGTCTCCAGGTTTTCCGATGGTGGCAAGCGTGAAATAAGGGACATCATGCTACGCTGAGCTTGTTTAGGAGTACGAGGACGTCGCTATGCCGCTGTTTGTCGCCTGGCTGTCTCCGTTGTGGATGTAGAGCGTCTTTCTGCCATGCCACTTTTTGGCCCTCCGTGATTCTGTGTTGATGGCACTGATCCCTCACTGGAGTTTTTATTCCAGCTGCTGTTTTATTTTATTTCCTTTTTTTGGCGCCTGAAGCATCAACAATGAATGTATGCGTCGCTGCAAATTTGGCCGGATACTTGTGAATTGGATTTTCCAAGGAGGAGGAATTTGACAGGAAGCGCCGCCAGGACTGGCCGTAATTATTATTGTTGTTATTAATATTATTTTAAACAAACTGTTAACACGTAGAGGATCATGGCTTCAGTGTGGAAGAGACTTCAGCGCGTGGGAAAACATGCGTCCAAATTCCAGTTTGTGGCCTCCTATCAAGAACTCATGGTGGAATGTACAAAGAAGTGGTGAGTTCGTGTCTATTTTCGTTCAGAGCTCATCGTTCTCACGTGCCCTTTGCAGTCCTGTAGATGTAGTGTAACGTGTGTGTGACTCTGCTGGAAGCCCAGCGCGCTGTGGAATGCTGAGTTGGCCTGTGACGTGTGTGTGTTGACAGTGATTATTCAGCTCTGCTGTAGTGCGGACTTGCCCGTGTATCGTACAGGGAGGAGCCAGGAAGATGGGAGAAACATGAACTGAACTTTACATCATGATAACTTCTGCTCTCAGGGTAGTAATGATGTTATTGTGTAGTAGTAGTAGTAGTAATGATTCATTTACGGTTATGACATTTAGCAGACACTGTTATCCAGAGTGACTGACAAATGTGCTTTCTAGAAGTGCTAGATTAGTGTTCACTGAAGTGCTTCACAAACCGTTGGGTCTTCAGTCAGCATTTGAAGGCAGTGAGGGGCTCTGCTGTTCAGACAGCGAGTGTAAGTTCGTTCCACCACCTGGTTGCCAGGAATGTGAAGAACACTGATGCTTGTCTTCTATGCAGCAACAACAATTGCAGCGAATACAATTCATAATAGTAATTATTAGAAGTGTAATGATTCACCCTTTTCGCGATTTGGTTCAGTTCTCTGCTTCTGCACCACGAATTGATTTGTATCATGGTTCCGGAAATTGTAACCTCTGTTATACCTCGTATAACAGAATACACAGGAGCTAAATGCCGGATGTGCAACTACAAACCAAAAGTTATTTTAGAAATAATGATTAAGCTAAAAATGAAAAAAGTTATAATTCAAAAAGACTTCTTAATTTTTTTTTGAAAGTCACCCTTTTGCAAAATTGTCGCATATCCAAGGAAAAAAAGACTAAAATATAGGCCCATGTAAACGTCAACAAGTACAAAACAACAAGTGGAATAAAAAATGTAAACATCATGAGCTAGAGCAGTTGTACCCATCATCGACTATAAGGAAAAAAAAAAAAAACATTTCATGCACATAGGCTGTCGAACCCCGGGTGTCGAATTTCTGTTTCAGCTTAGAACTCTTACACCACAAATGATTAATAAAATTGTTTTTTACACATCATTTTCTGAACTACAAAAGAAGAAAAAGTTGTAATTTTGACTAAGAAACTGAATTGAATTTGGACTTCGATCGAAATCTGATTAGATACCGTTTGTTCCATGTTTGACCAGTTAGGTTTGTCAAATTTCAGTGGCCACTCGGCTAGAATGTTACTGATCTGTTTAATAAAGCCAGTTTCTGTGCCGACACTGTTACTGTATATGGGCTCAGTGAGCCCCCAGTTTGACGCTGGTGAAAAAAGGTCCTGATGTCTACACACCTTAAAAATTATGATTCTTCTAGGGTTCTTTAGTAAAGAAATGGTTCTATATAGAACGTATTTGAAAAGTGTTCTACATAGCACCAAAAAGGGTTGGTCTATTGTAACAAGCCTGACATTGTAACAATAGCAGAACCCTTTTGGACATTTTTGAACAGGTCTCAATATAGAACCATCTACAGCACGTTCTTCTTCAATCTGAAGAACCATTTCACCACGCAAAGAACCATTTAAGAATGCAGATGGTTCTTTGAGTGTTCGTGGTTCTATATAGGCTCATTTTCTTTTTACTAAAGAACCCTTGAAGAACCATTTTTTTAAGAGTGTCCTGTCAACTTCAATGTGATGACGTAACAGTAACCATAATATGATAAAATCCATGTCATCCATGACGAGGCAGGAGGGCTCAGTGCCTGAACATGGGAATACGCTGTAGATCAGACGGCATCATTAAGATGGAGGCCATCAAGGAAATCACAGAGACTGTAGAAGAGTGTCTAGATAGCTGTGGATCAGGAGGGGAGAAGTGAGGACAGCGAGTGCTACTCGGACACGTTCTGTGGTCATTTCAGCCCTGTCTGGGTCGCCTTGGCTGGGCTGGGCTGTCTGATGCTGAAACGCCTGAAACGCCCAGTGAGCCCGGGTTATGTCATTGATGATGTGCCTAAGTGCATCAGATGTGGCGCCACAGTAATATAAGTACAATGATGCATAATGATATCTGAATCATATTGTATCAGCACATTATTGCTTCAAAAAAAAACAATCTTGGCATCGGACAGATGGTGGTGAACGAAAGTTGCTGATGTCCACAGACCTCACGGTCCATATCGTAGAGCAAAAACATCCATTTCATGGAGAAGTTTAAGCCTTTTTTTGGTGTTGCTATTTTTTCCCTTCATTCTTCCTCACCTGTTTTGAAAGCGTGCCTGTGTGTGATGCGGTTTCTCTCTCTGCTTCAGTGAATTTCTCTCATCTTCCAGATTTCAGCACTACAGAGAAACAGAGGTTTGGCTTGGCACGGCTTCAGTTGAGTCAGATTTCAGTAACAAACATGCACTGTTGTGTATCACTTCAGAGTGCCAACACATACGCACACGCCCAGATCAGAGAAGATGACCCAAGGGTTTTCGAAGGCATGTGTTCAGTTGAGTACAGTTCCCCCAGGACACACACTCACACACACATGCCTGAGGTGCTCCAGATGTGTGTGTAGGGGATGGAATGAGAGGAATGTGGCGATGTCTGTTGCTTTGGGGTGCTGGGGGAGGAAGAGGAATGTGAGGAAAGACTGTTTGTCTCCATCTTAATCTGCAGTCTAGATGTCAAGACGTGAATTATGGGCGATACCGGTTTTAAGAAGTTCAAATATTGTTCCAGTATCGGCTGATTATAGTTTTACATGGTCAAGAGTTAAATGGCCCCCAACAGAGTTGGCGTCCTGACTCAGTAATGCTCCATCTTTCAACTTCAACAAGAAAATTTTACTTTGTAAAACTGTAAATAATGTACATGTTGCAGCATGGGGGCGGAGCTTCCCAGCATTCTTAGTGGCTTTACTGGTTTCTGTTACTTGCCTCTTATTTTTCTTATTTTCATTATTTTAGTGTCACTGTCCAGCTAAAGGTCATTAAGGCACATCATTTATGAAAACTTTTAACTTGGTGCTCTGACATGTTTAGAGGGCAGTGCAAATGATGCTAGTTCTAATGTTTTTAGCATGTATGCTAGCAGAAACTTTTTTGGCTTATGTTTTCACTGTCAAGAAAAAATGCAGCTTTACTTGACTCTGTAGTTCTGTGTAATTGTAGATGATTGAGTATGCATAGCTAAGTTAACTAGTAAATAACTCAGTTTAGCCACTTTAGGCTTGTACTTTAATAGTTGCATACAATTATTTATATGATACACTTCGTCAGCTAAAGTTTCTTGATCATGACAACTGTAGTTTTTGTGACTTTTTTGTGTTCGTTTATTCAGTTTACTCCGTAGTGCTGTGAAGTAAACAGTTACCGCCAGTGTAGCAGTCTGTATAGTTCAGGGGTCGGCAACATGTGGCTCTGTTACTGCCCTGTTGCAGCTCCACAGCAGAATTAGGTTTTTAGGTAAAAATAAAATAATCCTCTATAAACTTTAAAATAAAGCTCTGCTGATCATTCTAACACAGTTTTAACACTAAATTGTCTTAAACACTGGAGTTAATGTAGAACTGCTAATGCACCAGCTTTTACCCTGGTGGTGTGCAGACTGCTGGTCACCATAACAACTTAAGCAACAATCTCACCTAGCTAGTAGCTAATAAAAGAAGGAAAAGAGAAAGATTGTCAAACACTAAAAAGTCACAAAGCTTTAGTCAGTTTCTCATTCGAATTTTACTGTTCCACCTTCAATGGTGATGCAGTTACATACGTGTAAGGTGGAGCAGGAGATTGAAGCTGGTGAATGAGAAGCTGATTTCGGCCTCACAAAAAGTCGAATGTTGAGAGACATTTTACAAGAAACTATTCTACTTATGAGGAAAATGTTTCCTTCTGGAGATGTGAGAAGTGGCTATAGCTGAGCTGAAGCTTAAAGCAGAGCGAAGTAAATCTGGGTTTTCGTTCATATTATATTTTTTAGCCTGTGATAGCACATTAGCACATACTGAGACATATTTATAGCCCAGATGGTAAAACAGACATAAAATGTTGTGCCTCCCAAGGTGGATTTTTGTTGGAAGGACAAATTGGCTCTTTTTAACATTTGGGTTGTTGACCCTTGTTATAGAGATAGAGGAAAGTGTAAAATCACAAACCAGACATTCTCTTCATGTTAGAGGAGTTTACGATTTATCACTGACTTTTTTATCTGTTCTGTTATAGAGCGATACAGCTGGGAGGAACTGTCTGCTGAAAGGCAACTATTCACCCACTGACAAGATGTTGAAATCTATTGCGCCAGGCTGATTCTCTCAGTGTGTGCAGGGCTCAGCAGGAAGAATTTTTGTTTTGGAGCCAGTGTTTGGGCCAGTGGTTCAGATTTTCACTTTGCCAAGCAGCAGTTTCACTGGCCCACTTCTCTAAAAAATTAAAGCTATTTGTGAGCAGTACTTTACTGAATAACAAGTTAAAATCATATAGCTGTGTATTCTCATATGGGTGTAGCATGAGTGCCTTACTTCCATTCGTACTTCGTTTTCCATTCGTAGAATCTGTTGTGTCCAAGAAGCTTACAAAAGTAGTTTTTGTTTAGCTTTGTAGTGTTTTTACGAGGCCTTGTGATGAGAGTGCACATCTGGAAGCAACCCAGAAGGAAACTGGCCTAAATGTGGGTGGGAGCATAGCCCAATTCTATTTCACCCCTTACCCCTACCACTTAGCCCCACCTCTCCATTTTGCACGTTCACGTCTAGGGATAGGGTGTCCTGATTCTTGTTGAGATAGAGGGGTAAGGTGAACTTTTAGGGCTACAAGGCCCTCCAGACAGGTTTTTCAGAGACGCACTCCAAACAGAGAGTTATGAGGAAAAAAAAGAAAATCTGCCAAGATGGCTGCGCAGGTGACCAAAGAAACCCACAAATGTGAGAATTTTCTCTGTTTAAAATTATGATAATCATTTGTATTTTCTTAGTTTAATGTCGTTTCAATGTATTATGGTCCTTTTCTTCATAACAAGCATTAAAATC